TTGACACAACCCCTTCTCGGGTCGAAAGAAACCTCTAGCTTCACCTTTTATGGGAATCGAAATGGTCGGGGAGCAAATAGTGTCGCGAATCCAATGTTGCCTCTTAACCGGGAAACCTAGAGAACCCAAACTTTTAAAAAGACAATCCCAGCTGATGTTTCCAAAAGCCTTTTCAATGTCCAGCTTGAACATAAGGCCCGTCTTTTCAATCTTTTTTCTGTTGTCCATGAACTCGTTAGCAATCAAAGTGTCCTCCGAGATCTGTCTACCCTTGACCGAAGTATGCTGATTGAGGGATATAAGTTTTGGCAGCACCAACCTCATTCTTTTCCAAAAGACTTTGCTAACAATTTTATTAAAGCTGCTCATCAAACTGATCGAGCGCAGGTCCTTGATTTGCTCCACGGTGTCCTTCTTCGGCAAAAGACAAATGAAAAAATGTGTGATGCTGTTTGGTAGGAAACTAGTCTCGTGGAACTCACTAAAAGCATTGAGAACACTGCTTCTGATGAGGGGCCAACATTTCTTATAGAATTCTAACGAAAACCCGTTTGGACCCAGAGACTTGCTACCATCACTTTCTGAAATGGCACCCCAAATTTCTTGTTCAGTAAAGGGGCGAATAAGCATTCAAACATCAACCTCATCAATCCTCCTAGCAGAGTAAACGTGTGGGAAAGGCCTGTAGAGGGCTGACTCTTTGTATATATCATTGTAATAATCAATAATACCATCCCCAAGGGCATCCCTACCATACACCGCAGAACCATTAATGATTATATGGTCAATGAGATTTAGCTTACGCCTATAATTTGCCATCAAATAAAAGTACCTGGTGTTCTTCTCCCCGACTCTAAGCCATAATTCCCTGGAATTTTGCCTCCCGAGGATTTCTTGCAAATAAAACACTTCTTGAAGCTCCACTTTAAGGCTATTGCGGGTAGCACTATCTTCCTCTTGAAGTCGCCTGATTTTTTCTAGTATTTGTAGGAAGAAGAGTTCACTGAGTTTTTCGAGATGACTGGTGCTATTACTTGTGAGACTGCATGACTAAAACTTCATTTTTAACCGGAATAGTAGCTATACCAATGGCAATCTGCATACCCTGTTGGTGTGGTTCCTTGATAGGACGGCACACAGCTTGCAGCTCACCACATGTGTCTCGTTTTGTAAGCTATGGGACACCTCTTCCTGTAGAAAACGTAGCAAGAATTGCTTCGCAAGTATGCTATGTTTGGTGTTGTCCCATTCATCCGGCTTGATCCTTCCCCGCTCCAGGAACGACCCAAAGCAAATCATGTTAAGAAGGAAAAGGAGGCACATAATACAAGAAAGGGCAAAGGAATAGCTTCCTCCAGCACTGCTCCCCCCCAACTCCGTATCTGCTATGGGAGTTCTTGACAATGCTCACATGGGGTTGCTAGAGGTAATCCTTCATCAACACCACCTCTTTATGTGTGTTATATAAATATGCAATTTTTTAATACTGGTAGCAGTTGTACCAATAGAACGTGCTACTGATACTAATGTAATGGTAGTTCTATTTGCGTACCAGTAACAACGAAATAATTATACCAGTAGCAGCTATACCAATAGAAACTGCTACTAATACCAATGAAATGGTAGCACTATTTTGCGTACCAGTAACGACAATAGACTTATACCAGTAGCAGCTGTACCAATAGAAACTACCACTGATACTAATGCAATGGTTTTACTATTTTTCGTAGCAAAATTAAATAGTAATGAACAATTTTCCCATGTATCGTTTCAGGTGAATGTGCTTAAAAGGGGATCATCGACCTTGCCTCTACTATCGCTTCGAGGATAGAGGAGTGTGATGCTCGCATAACTAAACTCCATGTTGCGGATGCTGAGCGAATTGATATTGTCGAACATGAGGAAGACGAGAACGGTGAAGAAAGGCAATAGACTGGAGTAGTAAGGGCTGGTATTGATACCGTTGAGGTTGATGGTGATGACGAGGACTAGGATGGGTCTGGCCTTGCAAATGATGGTGATGATGAGGGCAAAGATGGGACAGCCTGGCAAAATGCAAGTGAGGATGATGAAGATGGTAATGATGAAGACGACGAGAAAGACCAAGATGATGGTCATGATGGAAATGGTAGTGACAATGAGGACGTTGAAGATGATGGTGATGGTTCCAATGGTAATGGTAATGAAGATGAAGATGGTGAAGATAACGACGAAGGAGGGAGTGCTGGAGAGGAAGAGGAAGTTGATGGTCCTGATGGAAATGGTAATGACGATGAAGATGGTGAAGATAAAGATGATGGACGGAGTGCGGGGAGGAAGGCGGTGATGATCCAACCGATAGTGTGGATATTGCACAAGGTGATGTGTTGTGTAAAAACATCCAATGTGATTGGTACTTTTACCACAACCACTAACTTTTGTACTTTTTCCTGTTCAAGTAGTTCTGGAGATGGGTACGTTGGGAAAGTGACCGTTGCTGCTGAAGTGGATAACAATGAGTTTAGTGGAGGTGAGTGTTTGAGGTGGAAGCGGTAGCACTGGAGTAAGACCAGTACAAGTGCAATGCAGTGTTACCAAGACCATACCAATGGTCCTAGTACCAAATCAGTGGTACTGGTGCCATTCGAGCGATATTGGTACCTCTCCTCCAGTAGTACCATAATTTATACCCACCACTTTTGACTGTCGCATAGAGCATTTATAGTTGACCATTTGTCCATTCTAAATATTACCTTGTTATCCCTAGTAGAAGGTAATCAGGAACAAAGCATGGCACAACGGAGAGTGCACTGGACACTGATGTCACAATAGCAGAGCCACTGGCCATCATCAAACCCGCTCTTGATGCTGAGGAAAAAGAGGTTGGTGGTGAAGGGATGGTGAAGTGTAGCACAGTTGTTGACGTTGTGCAAATTGGAGGTAAAACGTGTGGGCCGAAAGTCTTCTATAATTATTACTATTACCATATTAATGGTACGGACAACGCATGATGTGTCCATCCTAACGATTTCTCTTTATTTTTCTTAGCAACTAATCTGAACAGGAGATATGATGAAAAAGGGGAGTGTGATGGATCCATTAGTAACTTTAGCAGAGACATTGCCGGTATCAAAACAGACCTTGCGTTGGATGCTGGTGATGATGATTTCCACCAGACATTGCGTTGCAACAAATATTACCTACTCCGGTCAAAGAGGCATCCCAGTAGTGCGATGTTGTCTTCCTACCATGCATTTGATGGCACAAGACTTGTCCCAAAGATGTCTATCGCGGATTCGAGCAAACTGACAGCCCAGTCATCTTCAAAAGCGCATCCGGAACACACATAGACCCGTTGGACCCAGTAGCTCTTGAGCATCTAAGGTTGGAGTATGCTTGTTGCAAAGTAGGAGATATGTATGGTTTGTTTCCTTGGAGCTGTCAATTTCACTAATTTCTATATCTGCTCACTCCTTACGTTTATATTTTGCAATATTGTCCCAATATGCTAGGGATGATGCTGAAGTGTTGAGCGCTGTTGTAGGAAGTAATTTTTCCCTAATTAGAGCGGATTCGAAGTCAGCCATACTTGGAAACACCATGACCACCAATATTTCTTGACTTCTATGCCAACTATCTGAACAGGAAAACCGACATCGCTTGGTCAATCACTAGATGAGTATTCACTCACGAATTTGCGGTAAGAATGTGATGACTCGATATTTGCACATGTTTTCCCCTTTGTTTCTTGATTGTTTGAGCTTTAATTATTGCGTCTTTGGCCTATTTTATGCTAGTTTTTGTTTCTTTGTCACATTTCAGGTCCTATCACATAAAGTGAAGCATAGCGCAAGTTTCAAGTCAATCAGAGATCAATTGGCGATTCGGGAGAAGAAACTCGGGCATGACCTGAAGAAGAATGGATTTCTACATAAATTTATGGAAAATAATCATGCAAGCTTGTCATGAATTTAAATAGGACGAGACTATGAGCGTCTGGGATCAAACGACAACTGATTCGGAGTCCGGACGAGGGAGAAAAGAAGCATTGAATATAGGGGAACATGTTCGGCAGTAAAAACACGGGCAGACTACCCTAAAAACACGGTCGTGTTTTATCTGGCACCCGCTAGTGTTTTTACTTCCGAGAGCGTATCGTGAGGGCTTCTGGGGGCAAAACACAGGCGGGCAAAAGTAAAACACGATCGTGTCCTCGACCGTGTTTTGTCCAGAATCGGGTTTTTGAGGTAGATTGAAGCCAAAGGAAAGGGAGAGCTGGGTTTTGGTTCCCAAACACCCAAGGGACGAACCTAGAGAGAGAGAGACTTGAAAACATTCCTGAAGCTATTTTGGAGGATTTCTTCGCCATTGGAGCTCGGGAATCAAGCTTGGAGATGGAGATTGAAGATCTAGATCAAATTTCTACAGTCTCTCTCTTCTCTATGGAGTAACTTCCCTTCACTTAGGTTTTGAGGAACCCTAGTTCCATGTGTTAGGATCTTTCTTGTATGAAGTTTTGGATGCTATATTGTTTGATTATAATCGATTTCAGGCATGATTTATTGATTCAATTGAAACCTGTTGAATCCTGATCATCTTCTCTTGATTTCTGCTTTAATCTATGATAGATAGAATCTGATTAGGTTAAGAGAGCTTCCTTGATTGATAGTGGTAATTGGTTGTGCGAGAGTCAATCAATACACTGCTTTGTACTGGAATTCATTCTAGTAGTGGAGATCTGTGTGAATCGCCTTAGCGGTCTATCTCGGTGAAGGCTAGTCGTCTGCCGGGTATTCTGTCTAAGAGGGCTTGGTCAGCTTAAGAGATTCCAAGCTAGTTTAGGATCTTCCACAGTTTAATCAACAGTAGATCAACCAAAGGTAATTACAACTTGGACCTAATTGAGGAGCTAGGGTAGTTTAGTAAATCAATCCTTAATCTAGTTTGCTAGATAATGAACTGAAGCTGAGTAATAGTAACTCTAGAGACCCGTGGATTCGATATTCATTACTTGTGCCACTATACTGCAGTCCCTTTCATTGGTTACACTTGGCCATTGTTAGGTGTTGTGTTTTAGTGTGTCAAGTTTTTGGCGCCGTTGTCGGGGACTTTTTAGATTATTAGGAAAGGCAGAAGTTTGTTACTTTAGCATTTTCTTTTCACCCTTGCTTTTCACTTGGGTGTTTTTGTTTTTGTTGGTGCAGATCTGAATCATGGATCCTAATGGCTTCTCCAACCAGTGGGGGTATCCACCACTATTTGAGTGGTATTACCCCGAGATTTCCTGAAGCAATCAAGGAGAAGAAGACTATGGATTTGGGTTCCAGTACCAACCCTCTTACTACGGAGAACAATCAGACCCCTGGGTATATCAAGAACAACCTCCTTATCAAGAAGAATTCCTCCCATAACCAGAAGGGCCATCAAATCTTGATTTAGCCACAGCCCTCACGGGCCATCCGGCAGATCCATGCTACACTCCACAGCCAGATCCAAACTATCACTTGAGGCTTCTCGTGGAGCAGATTGCTCGAGTACCTGAGAGATCCTTTCCCAAGATGGATCCTCATATCCAGGCCATTGCCCAAACTGACTTCTCCTTTCCTCATGAAACAGAGGATACCCTTTGGAGCATAAAGAAGCACATAGAGGTCATTGAGAAAGCTTGTGCACAGTTTTCTCAAGACAACCTTTATGCTGCCATACAAGTAGAGGAGGAGGAAGAAGAAGGCAATCATGAGGATGTTGAGGAGCATACATAATTTGTCACAGAAAGCTCCCATAATAATCATGATCAAGTGTATCCTCTGGTGGTAGATCACAACTTTCCCCATTTCCGCTCCGACATGTTGGGCCCGAGCGAGGAGATGGAAGCTGAACTTATTGAGAACCTTACATGGCGACTTGCTCTCCAATCCGTTATGGAAGAAGAAGAGAGAGAAAGGGTGAGGAAAGAAGTTGTGGGGGATGAGGAAGAAAGCAAAGAAGAGATAGTTCTTGATCTTTTCCAAGAAGAGAGACCACATTTTGTAGAAGGAAGGGGGGTTGAAGAAGCGAGTGGTGTCCAGGCTGAGGATGAAGTTGATGTGGAAGAGGCTTGACCGGCCCTATAATACAAGTAATATCCCCACCAAACTTCGAGGAACTGCTTAGCAAGGACCCATTTGCAGTGTCTCTTTGCCAGAACAAGGCCACATCAACATCGGTCCCTCTTGGTGGACGCGATGGTGGTCAGTCGATACGGTTATATTTGGTTTGGGGCAATGAGACAAGAGAAGAAACAAAGAAGAGGTCTCGAGGGTGGAGACTTCATCTGCATCAAGTGCACGAGCCTTCATCACCTGCCACACCACCTGCTCGTGACTTGAGACTCCACCTCATAGATGAGAACCTCAACTTCAAAGAGGTTCTAACATGGACCGAAACTTAGGATCCAACATCCGGCTCACGATGTGAAAGAAGAGCTTGTTGGGAGGCATCCCAACAAGTCGGTTTGCATTTCTTTCCCTATTTCTCCTCGGTTGAGTCAGTTTTCTTCTTTGATTTTAGAGTCAATAACTCAACCTTTGTGAGATTTTGTGTGGTGTTTGTGTTCCGACTGCTCTTTCTCTACTTTCCTCCTAGAATGCACTGCCTACCCCGTTCACCATCATTCACACTTGATCTAGTAACTTCGTTCTACCATCCTTATCTATCCTCCATTGAGAACAATGTCGTGCTTAAGTGTGGGGGGATGTTCCATTATGTTTGCGTGTGAATGTTTGGTTATTTTTGTGTGCTTGGAGCCTAGTCCACTGTCAAATTTTGAGATTTGAGGGATCAAAGTACTTATGTTTGCATGATCATACTGGCACTGTGGGCTTGATTGGTGAATCGAATGACTTTCGAATTTATGCATGACAACTTGATTGTAACTAGGAAAACCTATAATGATGACTGAGACGTGCAGTAGAATTGTGTAGGGGTTCAGTTTTTCAACTGTTTTCTTACCAACTGTGACTTGGATCGATCACTTGCTCTTGACAGTCGTTTACGCATCTAGTTCAGGGAATCAGAAGGAGAGATAGAGCATATAGGTAGCCATGTGAGATTTGAGCCTGCTCGTTTCTTTCTTGTGCGATAGTTCCCTCTTCCATGATGTGTAGCATTCACGTTGCCATTAGCTAAGATCATGGAGGCATAGGATTAGCCCACGACCAAATTGAATGTCCTGGTGTGTCATACCCCCTAGTCATCCCTTTGAGCCGTGTACTTTTCTTCCTTTCGGTCTAGAATGAAAAATCACCCGTTTGCATCTCTTAGAAGGTTCCACGGAGTGGTTTTTGCTTGTTCTCTATTGTTCCTGCTAAAAATAATGTGAGGGTTGGAGGTAGTGCTTAAAAGTTGGGCATGTGTTTGAAAAATGTGCAGAGGTGGTTCTCTCAAGAAATGAAAAAAAAAAAGAATGAAAAAAGAATGAAAGCAAAAGAGAGCCACTACCAAAAATCTGAATCATGCTCATTAAGTAGTGTTTCTTAGCACTCTAGCTTGGAAATACTAGCATTTATGTGACCTCCTTCGCTCTTGTGCTCTAGAGAATTTGAGTAATGCAGAATGGCAGAAAGAAAGTAAGTGGTTCGTTTGACTGTGATTGTGTTGCGTTTAGAATTGTGGAACCTTGTGCTATGAATATTTCCACCACCTAAAAGGCCTTTTCCCCATGTCCAAGACCCTAGCCAGTCATCTGAACTTGTGTCTAAGACCTCCGGATTAGTTAGTGGTGACACCCGATATGTGAACTCTAACACTTAGAGACTGTCGTCATGGTAAAGAGACGTTAGGGATTGAGAGTATGAGTATGCACATCTTGCATCAAAATTTTGTCCTGACCCCACTAGTCGAGAGCGAGCGATTTATTTCCTTATATTTTTCGACACTCTTTACCCTGGTGAGGACCTAGATTGCTCGGTCTTAATTCTAATATCTTGAGCTTTGTGCATGAAGTGACTGTCTTGAATAAATGGTTGAGTCAAGTCTATGTTGGTTGGTGAACAGAAGGGAGACTCTTCCTTTGCTCGACTTTGCTGCACTCGAATGTCATCTGTGGTGGTTGTCCAGGTTGTCGTTGAGGTTGTCCATGTGTTAATGATCAAAAGCCAGTAGGATTCACGTGTTTTGTGCCGATATGATATGTCCCTATAGCCTACTTGATTAAACCTTTTTGAGCTTACCTTGTGTCTGACTTGGTTTGCTTGGGGACAAGCAAACGGTTAAGTGTGGGGGGATTTGATGACTCGATATTTGCACATGTTTTCCCCTTTGTTTCTTGATTTTTTGAGCTTTAATTATCGCGTCTTTGGCCTATTTTACTCTAGGTTGTGTTTCTTTGTCATATTTTAGGTCCTATCACTTAAAGTGAATCATAGGCGCAAGTTTCAAGTCAATCAGAGATCAATTGGCGATTCGGGAGAAGAAACTCGGGCATGACCTGAAGAATAATGGATTTCTACATCACTTTATGGACAAAGAATCATGCAAGCTTGTCATGAAAAGAAAGAGGACGAGACTACGAGCATCTGGGATCAAATGGCAACTGATTCGGAGTCCGGACGAGGGAGAAATGAAGCATTGAATATAGGGGAACAGGTTCGGCAGTAAAAACACGGGCAGACTACCCTAAAAACACGGCTGTGTTTTATCTGGCACCCGCTAGTGTTTTTACTGCCGAGGGCGTGTCGTGAGGGCTGCTGGGGGCAAAACATGGGTGGGCAAAAGTAAAACACGATCGTGTCCTCGACCGTGTTTTGCCTAGAATCGGGTTTTTGAGGCAGATTAAAGCCAAAGGAAAAGGGGAGCTGGGTTTTGGTTCCCAAACACACAAGGGATGAACCCTAGAGAGAGAGAGCGACTTGGGAACATTCTTGGAGCTATTTTGGAGGATTTATTCGCCATTGGAGCTTGGGAATCAAGCTTGGAGATGGAGATTGAAGATCTAGATCAGATTTTGCGGTCTCTCTCTTCTCTATGGAGTAACTTCCCTTCACTTAGGTTTTGAGGAACCCTAGTTTCATGTTTTAGGATCTTTCTTGTATGAAGTTTTGGATGCTATATTGTTTGATTATAATCGATTGAGGCATGATTTATAGAGTCAATTGAAGCCTGATCATCTTCTCTTGATTTCTGCTTTAACCTATGATAGATAGAATCTGATTAGGTTAAGAGAGCGTCCTTGATTGATACTGGTGAATTAGTTTTGCAAGAGTCAATCAATTCACTGCTTTGTACTGGAATTCATTCCAGTAGTGGAGATCTGTGTGAATCGCCTCAACGGTCTATTCCGGTGAAGGTTAGTCGCCTGCCGGGTATTCTATCTAGGAGGGCTTGGTCAGATTAAGAGATTCCAAGCTAATTTAGGATCTTTCGCAGTTTAATCAACAGTAGATCAACCAAAGGTAATTGCAACTTGGACCTAATTGAGTAGCTAGGGGGAATCATACTTAAGTGAGTTCCCAACTTGTAATTAGTAGAGTAGTTAGTAGAGTAGTTTAGTAAATCAATCCTTAATCTAGTTTGCTAGATAATGAACTGAAGCTGAGTAATAGTAACTCTAGAGACCCGTGGATTCGATATTTATTACTTGTGCCACTATACTGCAGTCCCTTTCATTGGTTACACTTGGCCATTGTTAGGTGTTGTGTTTTAGCGTGTCAGAATGTTTCAAACAACTGCTGTAACACCCCGTTTCGGCAAAACCCATATTTCGATCGCTAGAAAGTTCGCAATTTAAAATCGAGCATTTTGACAGTATTTCGGCGAAAATCGGTGCCTGGGGTTAGATGTAGTTAGATGACCTCCGGCCAATCTTAACGGTCAATTTTTGTTTTTCATTAAATCAAACTTTGGGTTAGGGTTTAGAAAATCGGTGCCTGGGGTTTATCCATTAGAGGTTAGGGTATAGTATCATACCCCAAACTCGATTTAATTCATAGTCTAGATAGTGATATCTCACTAGTAGTACCTGACGTATAGTATACGTCTGACGTACGCAAGTCTAACCCTATATATGGTGATGACTGGTGTACGTCAGGCGTATAGTATACGTCAGGTGATTTAGCCGTTAGATGTAGTTAGATGACCTCCGGCCAATCTTAACGGTCAATTTTTGTTTTTCATTAAATCAAACTTTGGGTTAGGGTTTAGAAAATCGGTGCCTGGGGTTTATCCATTAGAGGTTAGGGTATAGTATCATACCCCAAACTCGATTTAATTCATAGTCTAGATAGTGATATCTCACTAGTAGTACCTGACGTATAGTATACGTCTGACGTACGCAAGTCTAACCCTATATATGGTGATGACTGGTGTACGTCAGGCGTATAGTATACGTCAGGTGATTTAGCCGTTAGATGTAGTTAGATGACCTCCGGCCAATCTTAACGGTCAATTTTTGTTTTTCATTAAATCAAACTTTGGGTTAGGGTTTAGAAAATCGGTGCTTGGGGTTTATCCATTAGAGGTTAGGGTATAGTATCATACCCCAAACTCGATTTAATTCATAGTCTAGATAGTGATATCTCACTAGTAGTACCTGACGTATAGTATACGTCTGACGTACGCAAGTCTAACCCATATATATGTATCCCTGTACATTTAAATCCCCCACCACCGTTTCATTTTTCCCATCTTCTTCTTCTTTCTTCACGTATCGAGAGAAAACAGACGAGCAAGAGGCGCACAGGGCATCGTGAGGAGAATTTCCAAAGCTCAAATTCTTGAGCTCTACTGATCCAAAAATCCCGTAAGTAATGCCTAATTCATCTATACATCGTGATTTATCGATTTAGAGCTTTAAAACGAGTTTTTGGTTCAGGAATTTCTTGAATTCCCGATAAGCCAAATTAGGATTTCGGGGTATCCGGAAGCCGGATTGAGCCCAAATTTCATATACGAGCTTCCTGCAGCGAGGTAATCAATCCTCTAGTTCTAATCCCTGAATTTCGGCTAGTATTTAGGCCGGGGTCCAAACCGCTGAATTTAGCTCCGGCCAGGGTTTGATGTGTTTTTATCAAGAATTTGACCCGGAGCCCAGAACTAATATTGACGGGGATACTGCAGGGCATATTAGGACGGTCTTGGATTTTAATTCGGGGTTTGTTCATGAAATTGACGTTTTAGTACGGGAAGGTTAAACCAGTGTTTGAACGACCAGAACTGGTGAGGGATTAGCACGGCATACCGGGTTTGTCGTATCACGATAATTATATTGATGCTTAGAATTGACCTAGGTGAACTAGAATGGCATGATTAGGGGTGTATGAACTTTTGTGCTATATGTTGAACCCTAGACTGTTGTATGATATTATTGACTTGCCCTAATCGATATGGACCTTGTTTATGTTGATAATTCCATATATGTTGCCAGATGTGGGTTTAATTGTGAATATGCCTTATGATTGTTGTATTTGGATGCACAAGTGGGAATATATATATTCCCAGGTGATATTATGACGTTTAAGGAGGATGACTTGCACGAGGGTTTATCCCGAGGAAGTGCAATTATACGAATCCTGATTTACCTATGTTGAGTCAATTGTGGCCAGGTCAAGTACATGTGCAAGTAACGAATTATGATTAAGCAAGATGAGATGCGAATCATGTATAAGGATACCAAATATGAGTGTTGTGGTCTCACGGTCAACTACATAGTAATTAGGGCTCCCTATGCTATTACTCTATTATGATATG